GGCAGGGACCCATTGACTCAGGCCATCTTTCACTGCTTTGCCTGGTTTATGTGCAAAAAATTTAATAGGAAATGGAGCTACCAGGATTAAATCTAGAATGTGTGTGAGATGTTGACATTATACACTGCGACTTAACCCATTGTCACACTGTCAGTCAAAACCTTTTATTTGATTAATGACATCATTATAATATAGCAGGATAAGTAATATCCTCTAACAAATGGTGCTAGAACTAGTAGAGATTCATATATTAAAAAAAAAAAAAAAAGCGGGAGGACTGCTACCATGTCTCATTAGACTAATCCTCCGCTGTGGCACCAGCATGCCAAATGGACACTGGTTCATGTCTTGGCTGTCCCACTTCCAATCCAGTTCTCTGTTTATGGCACATGAAAGTAGAGGAGGATGGTCCAAGTCCATAGGTCCCTGCACCCACATAAGAGACCCAAAGGAGGCTCCTGGCTCCTTGGTTCATACTGACTAAGCTCTGACCTTTATAGCCATTTTGGGAGCAAACCAATGAGCGAGATACCTTCTCTCTTGTTCTCCTTCTCCCTGTAGATCAGTCTATCAAATAAACAATAAATAAATCTTTAATAAATAAAACTTTGCATGCTTACTCCATATTGTCTACAAACTTTTTTATCTGGATCACAGACCTAAATATAAAACTAAAAATGTGAACTTCTAGGAAAATATCATGTAATACCTTATATGATACCATAAAAAAGGTATTGGTTACACTTTAACAAATGTAAAGCTCCTCTTCGTAAGATTTTATTACTGGAACTGGCTCTTGGAACAACTAGGTTAAGCCTCTACTTGACATGCCAATATTTTGTGTAGAAGTGCCAGTTGAAGACCTAGCTTTGTCCACTGTTCCGTAACATCAGCTGCATTTTAATTTATTTGTTTTGTTTATTTGAAAGGCAGATACATGGATCTCCACGTTCTACTGGTTCAGTCCCCAAAAGCTCAGTGAGCTTGGGCCTGGCTGAAACCAGGATCCAGGAACTCAATCTTGGTTTCCCACATGGATGGCAAGGATATAAGCACTTAAGCCATCACCTGCTGCTTTCCAGGGTGTACATTAGCTAAAAGCTGGAATTAGGAGTACAGCTGGGACTCAAACCCAGGCATCCTGATAATAGTTATGAGAGTCTTAAGTAGGGTATTCCCCCACAGAATCCACACTCAGACCTGGTAGGCATCATGGCCCAGTCTAATGTGATCCATCCCCTGACCCGCCACTCACTGTCAGGTACTGGGATCCAGCCCTGCCACACAAGCCCCCAGCCATAGCTTACACATGCAGTGGCATGGTAGTCAGCCATGTTCCATGCTAACAAGCCCAACCCAGGACTTCCATATGGGCTGGTGTATCAGGCTGACCCGTAGTGATATACAGGTTTCTCCCCTTCAAATCTCCATTCTCAGTCCCTCCCTCACTTACCTGCAAGTACAGAAGCCTTATTGTTAGGTGTCCCTCAGGATTCATTCTTTAACTACATGTACCTGGGGCCTTATCCATGGATGTCCTCAAACAGTAATTCCATACCCCCAAGGCCCCAGATCTCACCACCATGTGGCCAGTGGGTAAAGCCTGGCACCACTTGGCACTCTGGTCTCCCACAAACCCAGGGACCCTCTCCCTTGCCTAGCAGCAGTGGATGTACCTGGGGCCGGCACAGGTACACCCAGCCACAGGAACATGGCTGGGGGATCCACACACCTATGCTGCTGCTCAGACTTACCTGGATTTTGCCCACCAACATGGCAGAGCCATGGTCATGAGCATGCCCAGAGCTATCTGAGATCGGTTCCCAGGATCCTCACTGTGTATGGAGGAAATTCTCAGAGGTCAGGCTTGAACAAGCCCAGGACTATACCCCAACTTAGCAGCAGTGGATGGGGAGCTAGGATCCCCAGGAGGAAGCCTGGGCTTCAATCACTGCGCCACTGCTCAAACTTACCTGGACACTCGCTTGGATTTTCTAAGTTCTACATTTATTGGTGAACACTGCCTGTAAATACAAGTGGAGTTGTCATGTAATTTTTTTTTGGTGTGCTTTATTTTACTTAGCATAATATTATCAAAATTATTTCATGCATAGGTATGTGTGAGAATTTTGCCAGTGTGTTTATTTTTCCTTCATTCATCATCAATGGGCATTTCCTTTTTTTCCCTTTTTTTTGTTTGTTTTTCTAAGATTTCTTTATTTTTTATTGGGAAGGCTTATTTGCTGAGACAAGGAGAGATAGAAAGATCTTCCATCCAGTGATTTACTCCCCAAGTGACTACAACAGCTACAGCTGAGCTGTTCCAAAGCCAAGAGCTTCTTCCAGTTCTCCCATGAGGGTGCAGTGTCTCAAGGCTTTGGGCCATTGTCCACTGCTTTCCCAAGCCATGAGCAGGGAGCTGCCTAGGATGGGAGCAGCTGGACCTGAGTCCTAAACACAGTGTTTTAACAGTAATGCTATATTGCTACTAGCATAACAATGGACATGGCCTGGGTGTTTCTTTTCTGATACTTATTTATTTATTTATTCATCTATTTGATAGGCGGAGCAATGGAGAGAGAGAGAAAAAAATAACTTTATTCACTGATTTATTCCTTCCTTAAGTGCCCCCAACAGCCATTGCTTCATCAGGCCAGGAATTAAGAATTTATGGCAGGGGCCCAAACATTTGAGCGATCACCTACTGCCTTGCAGGATACATTAGGAGGAAACCAGGTCAGGAGCTCAGTAGCCATTCTTTGAAGTAGCACTCTGGCAAGTGGTGCAGTCACACCCATTTGGTGACTTCACTGCAGCAACACGGCACCTATCCCCATTTTTGTATATTTCTGTTTCTGTCTTTTAACAGTTACCAGCAATGGTACTATAAACATTTCTTTACAATTTTTTGTTAGAAACCCTGGTTTCAGTTCTTTTAAGGTTGATTTACTAATATGAAGGGAAGTATGACAGGGTATGTCTTCCATTCGCTGTTTTATTTTCTGCTTCCCTTCAATGGACAGGGCTAGGCCAGAAGCTAAGGCCCTGGAATTCCATTCAGGTTTCTCATGTGAGTGCCAGGGATACATGTTAGGAATAAGTTTGGTTGGACAGAGTTAGAACTTGATCCCAGGCATTCTAGTATGCTTCCCAAGCAATGGCTTAAACCACTGGGTCAGAATCTCTACTCCCTCAGTTTGATTTAAATTTGAGTTTCAGTATTGATTAATACTGTTGGGCATCTTTATTGTGTAGTTGTTGGCCACCTGTATTTCTTTGTTTTTGTTCATTAGCTTCATGATTTTTTTTTTTTTTTTAAGAAAAGGGGTGGTACTGTTGCACCAGCATCCCATATGGGTGCTGATTTGTGTACTGGCTGCTCCACTTCCCATCCAGCGCTTTGCTTATGCACTGGAAAAGCAGCAGAGGATGTCTCAGGTCCTTAGGCCCTTGAAACCTCTTTGGTTTGCGGTTGTTTTTTTTTTTTTTTCCTCTGTTTGTTTTTTGTTTCTTAGGGATTTTATTTATTTTATTGGAAAGGCAAATGTCTGCATTGCCTAGAACTGAGCCAACCTGAAGCTAGGAACCAGGGACCTCTTCCAGGTCTCCCACATGGATACAGGGCCCCAAAGCATTGGGTCGTTTTCCACTGCCCCAGTAGGCCATGAGCAGGGGGCAGGATGGGAAATGGAAGAGCCAGGACATGAACTGGTGCCCCAATGGGATCCCAGTGCTTGAAGGGGAAGGGTTTACCAGTTCAGTCACTGTGCCAGCCTCCCCTTGAGTTCTTAAGCCCTCACACCAGGCCCAAGAAACAGAGCTATTTCACCCACTGTCTCATTCCCCCAATGGCCACACAGCTGGGACTGGTACTGGCCAAAATCAGGAGCCCAGAATTCCATCCTTGTTTCCCACATGGGTGACAGGGCTCCAGACACTTGGGTCATCTCCCACTGCTTTTCCAGGTATGTTTGCAGAATGCCACAATGCCATTGCCCCTATCCCCAGCATTCAGTTATTTTGCTTTAAGTAAAGAAGTAAATCTGACCTTGCACAGGGCCAGAAGAATATTTTATTAATACTTTCAGCTAATTACAGGTGTATAGTATACCAACAGGATGATATGATTATTTCCTTATTTTTTCTCCTTTTTAAAAAAAAAAGATTTATTCTTTTTTATTTGAAAGACATATTTACAGAGAGAAGCAGAGACAGAAAAATCTTCCATCTGCTGCCTCACTCCACAAATGGTCACAATAACAGGAGCTGAAGCTAGGAGCCTCAAGTGTCACACGTGGATGCAGGATCCCAAGAACTCTGTGCCTTCCTCACAAATCATAGCTTTTCTGCTCTCTGCATGTATCTGAAAAAAATCATATTTGTTTGTACCTCCAGTGATTTCATTAGGGAATTCTAAATACTGGATAGTTGAACAACTCACAGTAGTGAACAGCTTTCAAAAATATCAGTGTCTCAATTGGCTAATTCTCTCCTCAGAAGTGCTGGGATGCCAGTTCGTGCCCTGGCTGCTTTACTTCCTATCCAGTTCCCTGCTTATGACCTGGGGGGGCAGTGGAGGATGGCTTGATGCCATGGGACCCTGTACCCGCATGGGAGACCCACCTGGCTTGTGGCTCCTGGCTTCGAATCAGCTTGGTTCTGGCCATTGTGATCACTGGGGAAGTAAATCAGTGGATGGAAAATCTTTGTCTCTCGCTGTAAATCTGCCGTACAAGTAAAAATAAAAAGAATTATTTTATTTTTGATATTCTTTACATAGTTAATTAGAGCACAGAGGTTCAAGGACTACAGGAAAATAAGACTATTATTTCCACTTTTTTTTTTTTCTGTATCTGGGGTGAAGGGGGAGACAAAGGGAGAAGCCACACCCGGCCTCCCACCCATCCCAGGGCCCCAGTGTGGGGCGTGCTCCAAGGGTCTTGCTCAAGTGGCCTTGATAGTTCAACAGTTAAGAATTGCTGCCAATCTCACCATTCCAAAAAGATATGGAGTGCTTCACAAATTTACGTGTCATCCTTGCACAGGGGTCATGCTAATCTTCTCTGTATCGATTCAGTTTTAGTATGTGTGCTGCTGAAGCAAGCACAGATAAAATGAATTTTTCAAAGAAAAATTGGAGTCCACTCAATATGCAATCTTTATCATTGGTGACAAATACTGTTGTTTGTATTTCTTGGCATGACCAGGTCATATGGCTTATTTTCAGTACTTACATGTGAACAATCACCATTTGTCAGTTGTGTAAAAATGATGTTAACATAAAAACTGTTGATTCAGTTCAACAGTCCATTCAGATATTCACACAATCGTTTTTCCTTAAGACAGCCATTGTATTTTATTATGCAGCAGAAAAACTTTATTTTTCACTGCGCCCTGCAGAATGTTCAAAATATTTTTATATACCAACATTTGAAAAGATTTTAAACTCTTCACCAAGAGCATTGTTTATTTGTTTGTTTGTTTGTTTGTTTTAAAGTTTGATGACAAATTCTGGTGCTGGAAATCGATATAGATTTTATCATTCTTTTTTTTTTTTTAAGATTTATTTATTTTTATTACAAAGTCAGATATACAGAGAAGAGGAGAGACAAAGAGGAAGATCTTCCATCTGATGATTCACTCCCCATTGGGCCGCAACGGCTGGAGATGAGCCGAGCTGAAGCCAGGAGCCAGGAACTTCTTCCGGGTCTCCCACGTGGGTGCATGTTCTTGAAGCTTTGGGCCGTCCTCTACTGCTTTCCCAGGCCACAAACAGGGAGCTGGTTGGGAAGTGGAACTGCCCGATTAGAACCAGCGCCCACATTGGATCCCGTCATGTTCAAAGCTAGGACTTTAGGCATTAGGCCACACTGCCCGGCCCTGCTTATTTGGTTTTTATTATTTGTTTATTTTGTAAAAATAGAGTCACAAAGATGGAGAGAAAGACAGAGATCTTCCATCCCCTAGTTCACTTTCCAAATATGTGCAGCAGCCCAAGCACTTAGACCAACTTCCACTGCTTTTCCAGGCCATTAGCAGGGAGCTGAATCAAAATTTTGGCAGCCAGGGCTTGAATTAGTGCTCATATTGGATGCCAGTGGTTTTACCTATCACTAATGCCAATGCCTCCATACTAAAAAAAAGGTATCTAACGTCTTCATCATATCAAAAGTTTTAAACTTGGGGACCCAGTGCCATGGCCTAGCGGCTAAAGTCCTTGCCTTGAACCTGCCAGGATCCCATATGGGCGCCGGCTCTAATCCCAGCTGTCCTGCTTCCCTTCCATCTCCCTGCTTCTGGCCTGGGAAAGCAGTCAAGGATGGCCCAAAGCCTTGGGACCCTTGTGTGGAAGACCCGGAAGATCTCCTGGCAGCTCTAGCCATTGTGGTCACTTGGTGTGTGAATCATCGGACAGAAGATCTTCCTCTCTGTTTCTCCTCTTCTGTATATCTGACCTTGCAATAAAAATAAATAAATCTTTTTTTAAAAAGTTTTAAACTTGGAGCTCCTAATCAGAGCACACTTTGAAAATTAGTGGTCTATATGCTTGCTTTGGCAGCAATATAGTAAAATTGGAACGGAAAATAGTAGTCTAGAAACAGTAATTGCATGGTCTTACAGTATATGGAATTTGGAGAGGCTTTTTTTTTTTCCTTTCCAGTTTGTTGCTTTAATTCCAGGTGATACAGAATTTTGATAACAGAGACCACAGAGCACCCTCTGGCAGGATTCTCAGCTGGGCCTACTTTGCATGTACAGCTAAGAATGGCTAGATGAAAACAACTTAGGAGACAGTGAGCTACCACACAGTGGTGTTTCTCCCCGCCCCCCCCTTTTTTTTTTAAAGATTTTTTTTTTTTTATTGGAAAGGCAGATATACAGAGAGGAGGAGAGACAGAGAGGAAGATCTTCCGTCCGATGATTCACTCCCCAAGTGAGCGCAACGGCCGATGCTATGCCGATCTGAAGCCAGGAGACTCTTCCGGGTCTCCCATGCAGGTGCAGGGTCCCAAAGCTTTGGGCCGTCCTCGACTGCTTTCCCAGGCCACAGGCAGGGAGCTGGAAGGGAAACGGGGCTGCCGGGATAGAACTGGTGCCCATATGGGATCCCGGGGCGTGCAAAGTGAGGACCTTAACCACTGTGCCACTGTGCTGACCCCCCCCCTTTTTTTTTTTTTTACAAAAGTTTATTTGTAAATGTACAACGGGCTCCAGGGTGACACTTCATTCTAACCATGGGGGGCTAAAGATGCTCCAGCCGGGATGGCGGATGTTCAGACACATGTAGCGTCAAGGGCAACATCACTTCAGATGCAAGGAGCAGCTTTTTGCCAGATTTCTTAATTCCACCTGTGGCCAGGGGGCCCTTCCCCATGACCTTTGCTTTCAACTCCTCGAGTTTTTTCTGGTCTTATTTCTGTTTCTGCTTGAAATCCTTATCCTCCTCATCCATCTCCTTGGCCTGCTTCTTAGGTTTTTTTCAGGGGCTACTTTTTGCCACCTTCCCGTCCAGACATGGCATCTGCCGCCCGTTCCCCAGACCCTGCCTCCAGAAACAGATGGAGAGGCCTTTTTTAAGTTAGAAAGGAGATATAAAAATTGGCCTTACAAGTAGCATTAATGCAGGCATTTGTTGCTTCTTGGAATGCCCACATCTCATATGACTGCCTATGCATCTCATATGACGTCCTAGCTCCTATTTGGTCCAGCTTCCTGATGATGTGCACTGTAGGAACAGCAGGCAGTGGCACAACTCCATCCCTGGAGTTCCTGGTTCCTTACTTCAGTCTAGACCAAAGAAGATCTTTTGCTTCTCAAAAAAAATTAAAATAAGATTTTTTTACAGTAGTATTTTCATTAATGGGAAAATGTTACTAGATCATAAAATTTGCGTGGTAAAATGCTTGATTTATTTAAATGTAAAGTCTTCTCCTTTTTGTAGTTGATCTTAGATTATGTGTAATAATGGAGGGCAAGTGCCAGAAACTTTATGGTTAATAATTTGAATAAGCAAATTATTAGTATTTGATTAGCCTTTATAATGACCTATGTGTTTTTAGTAGACATTTTCCTGTTAATTGTTTTTGCATAGACTACTATGAAATTAAAATGTATCCTTAGCATTTGTTACAAAGATTGTAGTAGAGAAGAACAGGAAAGTTAAAAGTTAGTGGTTTAAAAAAAAAGGTAGTGGTTTAAAAGCTTCTAGCTGGTACATACTAGATATTTTGGCTTCTTATCCTTTTGTTCGAGTACATGTCAGAATAGGTTTTGAAATTGATAGTGTTTTTTGTTTCAGGAAAGTATCTAAGACAAAAGAGAATTGACTTCCAGCTTCCCTATGACATCCTTTGGCAGTGGAAACACAATCAGGTACAAAGAGCCCGTTTTGCCAGATTTTATTCTTAGTTGTAAAAGGAGTGGGGTGTGCAAGTCTCTTTCTCTGCCTCTTTGTTATGTTTTCACCTTAGCAAATATCAAATGTCCCTGTGAAGGTTAGAAGGCCAGGAGAAAGGGGAAAAAATGCATTTACATCCATATTTCATGTGACCTATTTGCCTTTATTCATATGGCAGAATATCAGTGAGTTCCTATTTCCCTAGGCAGCTTTATCTTATTATTCTGGGCTTTTGTTTTGGTAGCAGTGATTCTGTTTTGTAAGATCCTGTTGATGCAGGTCTCAGGAGAATTAAAATGCACTGCCAGCAGCACTAAGAAATTTCAGGCTTTATTTTTGTTGGCTTCTTCACATTGGTTTGTAATTTGTCTTTGAAATACAGAAAAGATTCTTCTACCAAAGGAAACAGAGAAATGTTTGACATTCCTATAGTTTTAAGACCTCTTTTAATGTGTTGGTAAATAAATAGGAAAATCCTGTTTTTTTTCTTACTCCTCTAATTGGAAAGTTTCCCCCCCAGTGATTTTTGTACTGAGTGATAGCTCCCAGGCTCCATATTGACAGCAGCCATGGAAAATAACAATACTTACAAAAATGAGGGACATGGGTCCCTGCGTTTTCCCATAGCCACCAAAGGTTAATTCTAGAAAGTCACGAGCAGTTGTCATTCCCCTCTGTAGTCTCAGTTCTGAGAGTACAGAATGTTAGATGGTGCTTTGAACATAATGACTCACAACAGTGTGGTGAGATTAAGCTAACAAATTACTGAACAGTACAGTATAAATTGATCTTTGTCTTATACTGCCTTCTATGGCAGCATAAAGGCGGACTATCTCCCCTAATATCTTCTTGGTTAAAATGTGAAATCTCCATTTTTTTTCCCTTCCTCCCCCCTTTATTCACTAAACTAACTTCCTGTGTTGAAATTTGATATGTGTTTTCCTACAATTTTAACCTAAAAAAACAAGGTATTAATCATTTTAATTTCATATAGCTACCAAGACCATCTAAATAGCCCTATGTATATGTTCCTTTCTTCTGATACAGGCAAACAGAATCTTAATTTGTCCACATGGTCTGCAGTGTGATTTTTTTTGTTTGTTTGTTTCACTTCATCTATACAACAGCATGTGAAGAAAACTTTAAAATACGTTTCTGTAAACCGTTTAATTTTTTTTTCTGTTGAATCTTACTGTTTCTTGCCTTTTATTTTACTATAAAAAGTAATTACATTTAGAGTTTTCCTCAGTCATTTCTAACCCAGTAAGTCTTGTAAATATGTCTGTATGGGCAATTGATAGTTACAGAAATGGATAACTTAATGTGTTGTTAGTAATTGATGTCATAGTCCAGCATTTCAAGTTAAATGCTATATCAACATTTTCTTCTCTTTTTTTTCTAGCTATACAAAAAGCCAGATGTCCCACTATATAAAAAAATTCGTTCAAGTGAGTAACTTGGGAGTGATCTTTTCTCCATATCATTAATGTTCTTACCTGAGCACTTGAAAAATGATCCAGTATATTCACAAACTATTCTTTATTGTCTCCTCAAGATGTCTACGTTGACGTCAAACCCCTTTCTGGTTATGAGGCTACCACCTGTAACTGTAAGAAGCCAGATGATGACACCAGGAAGGGCTGTGTGGATGACTGCCTCAATAGGTACTGTATTGATCTGACTCCTCTAAAGCAGAGGTGGGGAGCATCTCTGGCACAGGTGCCCAGAAGAGCTATAAATCGTTTGATCTGACCTTGCCAAAGCAACTGTACCTGGGACTCAAAAATACAGTAAATTTATGGCAGGAATAAACATGAATAAGTTCCAAGATGCTAAAAACATTGTTAAATTACGATTTTGATTTGGGGCCTTTTAGGGGTTTTTGTTGTTGTTTTTAATTTTTGATGTTTACACATTCGATTAAGGTGGAAATGGTCAAAGACTAGGGGAAAGCAGATGAGACCACTCTTTCTACACCCTCCTTATCTTCTTCCAGTATCTGGGGAGTGGTGGGACAAGAGGAGAAACCACACCCATCCTTCCAACTGCCACAGTACCCTGGGATAGGGAATGCGCTCCGGTGTCATCCCAGGATCCCCAGTGTAGAGCGTGTTCTGAAGGTTCTGTTCAAGTGGTTTCAATAGTTCTGACATGCTCTCAATCTCACAGATCCAAGGATGAGGAAATCTTTCCCAGGTCCATTGGTTGACACAATTCATTCCAGAGTCTCCATTCACCCAAAAATTTGCTATTAAGCTTCTCTAGGGTAGTTGACCAATTTGTTCTGCCCTCCTTCCTCTGCTATGGTATCAGATGTCCTCCACAGTTTCCAAAGGAATGCCTCATCCTCCATGTGCATCTGAGTATACTCTCCACTGCAGTATCTTCAGTACCTGAGGAAGCCCCATTCAGATACATGCACTCCAATGTCACATCCCAGGTTCTACCACTCTCCCCTTTGTTGGAGTTTTGAGTCCAGAGGTTCAGTTGGGGGAACCCTCAAAGAAATCTCATCTGAGGTGATGCCAGACCTAATTCCTATGTGCACCCACCAGTATGGAGTCTGGTTCATTCTGTCATACACATCAGCCTACACACACGCTGCTCATTAGTAGTTGCTAAGTCTGACCTATCTCCAGTTCCATCTCTTACGCAAACTAGTGGGTGCTACAGCCCAACCCAACCCTGCCAGTTACACACTCTTTCCCCCTGTATGCCATCAGAAGCTGCAGCCCAAGGCTTTGGGCCATCCTCTGCTGCTTTCCTGGGCCACAGACAGGGAGCTGGAACGGAAGCGGGGCTGCCGGGATAGAACCGGCGCCGATATGGGATCTCGGGGGTGCAAGGCGAGGCCCTTAACCACTTGCGCCACTGTGCCGGGCCCAGTGTCTTCTTTCTAACTGAAGATAATTATCTTGAATTAAAGAATAATCCAGTGAATACTTTCTATGTTTACTGCTCATTTATATGCCTTGATGCTGTGTGTATTTATCCTTTACATTAAGTATGGGATTTTTTACATAAGCCAGATGATGCTAAAAGCATTTTAAAGCTTAATCTGTATGCATCTTTCCTTACAGGATTTTAAAATCATGATTATAATTTAATATTTTGATCTAGCGTTTACTGACCTTTTCTTTATTTTTGTCCCTAAATGAGACTCCACAGGAGGCAGAAAAGAGAATGGCTCCCTACGGGTCTAGGAGTTGAAGAAAAAAAAATACAGTGAGAAGAGACACACATATAACATTTTGGAAAATGCTGCTTGATAATTCACTAGTAATTGTGTAAGCTAGTCACATAATATAGAAATAACATTCCCAATAAGGAATAAAAATTTCTGTAGAACAGTAGCAATTACACTCAGCACCACTGAGCTACATAAGTATTATTAGAATAAGGAGTAGGCATTTGGTCTAGCACTTAAGACTTCACTCAGGATGCTTACACATCCCATGCTGGATGCTGCTATTGATTCTAGATCCCTGCTTATGCACAGCCTAGAAGGCATCAAGTGATGATTTGGTCCAAGCCTTGCCTGTATCAGCCCTGGCTGTTTCAGGCATTTGGGGAGCAAACCAACAGAGAAGACATCTGTATGTTTGTGTCTGTATGAGTGTGTGTTTCAGCCTTTCAAATAAGTAAAGAATAATGTACAAAAAGTACAAATAACGTACAAAAATAATGGTTAAGATGCCAGGGTTTGTTTTTTTTTTTTTTGGAGATTTATTTATTTTTGTTTAAAAGGCATGTTTACAGAAAAAAAGAAGTGGAGACAAAATATAGAGAGCAAGATCTTCCAGTGATTTACTATGCAGATAGCTACAATGGCTGGTAGAGTTGTGCAAATCTAAAACCAGAAGACTGGAGTTTCTTCCAGGTCTCCCACATGGGTGCAAGAACCCAATAATTTGGGTCATCCCCCATTGCTTTTCCAGGCACATTAGCAGAGAGCTGCATCAGAAGTGGAGCAAATAGGACTCAAACCAGAGGCTATACGGGATATTGGTACTGTAGGCAGAGGCTTAACGTAACTATGCCAAAGCACCAGACCCCCACATTAAGTCTGTAAATGGAGGATGGCATTGTGCAGCAGATTGAATCACTGCTTGGCAGTAATGGCATCCCATATGAGCTCTCTTTCATTTCCGGGCTGCACCTCTTCCAATTCAGCTCCCAGCTAATGCATCTGGGGAAAAAGCGTAGGAGCATAGGATAGCTCAGTTAATGGGCAGCTGCCACCCGAATCAGAGACCCGGATGGAGTTCCTGGTTCCTGTCTTTTGACCTGGCCCAGCACTGACTGTTACAGCCATTTGCAAAGTGAACCAGCAGATAAAAGATCTTTTTCTTTCTGTGGCTTCAAATAAATAAATCTTTAAAAATAAAGCACACTTAAATAAGAGACTGATGGAATTATGACTCCTTATGAAGGACTATGCTATTATAGCAACATGGGGAAAATCTGTTGGGGGGTGAGAGTTTGAGGGGAATCCCAATCTATACGAAATTGTACCACAAAATTCAAAAATTCAAAATAAAAATATGAAGATAAACTAATAAATACAGAAGGAAAATAAATTCTAAAAATAGCCATGAGCTGCTTCCAGAAAAGGAGTGTGCAATGGTATGCTTTGAATACCTGATAAGTATTACAGATCAATTTTCTGTTGGGATCTTACATCCTGTATTCAAGTGCACAAGATTAAGTCCTAGCTCTACTCCAGGTTCCTGTTGATGTGCATCCTAGGAAGTAGCGGGTAACTGCTAAGATATTTGAACCTCTATCACTCTGTCACACTATATTGTGTTGCCAGTTTTCTCGTGACCAGTCAAGACACTAGGGAAGTAAATCAGCAGGTAGGAGCTTTCTATCTTCCTCATCTTCTCTAGCCCTCTATCCTTCCTTCCCTCTGCCTCTCAAATAAATTTTTAAAATATATTTAAAAATTTGAAGAATGCAGTATAACCATCAAGTTATTTTTTCTCCTGTGGATCATAGTGCATTTATTTTTAGCACAGATAAATGATGATAATTTTCCCAGGATGCTGAATATATAATTATCTTACTAATTTACAAGAAGCATTTATTGTTTACAATCTTGGAAATTTTTAATATGGTTAATATTTTTATTGCATGCTAGTTTAGTCTTTCTGGTTTTTTTAAAAGACTTATTCATTTTTATTACTAAGTCAGATATACAGAGAGGAGGAGAGACAGAGAGGAAGATCTTCTGTCCAATGATTCACTCCCCAAGTGACTGCAACAACCGGTGCTGTACCAATCCGAAGCCAGGAGCCAGGAACTTCCTCCAGGTCTCCTACACGGGTGCAGGATCCCAAAGCTTTGGGCCGTCCTCGACTGCTTTCCCAGGCCACAAGCAGGGAGCTAGATGGGAAGTGGAGCTACTGGGATTAGAACCAGCGCCCATATAGGATCCTGGCGTGTTCAGGTGAGGACTTTAGCTGCTAGGCCACGCCGCCAGGCCCTTGTCTTTCTGATTTTAGCTTCTTTTACTGAAATGAAAATTGATTTCATTTTTTTCTTTTTGATGATGTTTGCATAATTGCTTAGGGTCAGAATGATTGGGGTTTAGGGAAAAGTGGGTGTGATCATTGTTTCCAAATTTTCCATTTCTTCCTCCTGTATCTGAGGGAAGAGGAAAAATAAGAGGAGAAGCCATACCCAGTCTCCCAAATGCTCCAGGGGATGGGGAATGGCTACCCATATCAACCCAGGGTCCCTGATGGGGCACACGTTCTGAGGCTCATGTATTCATTCTTTAAATTCTTGCAAGAAATGGGTACATTAAGGCATATGTTGTGTAAACTAATACCCATTTTTTTTTTTCTTTCTAGAATGATCTTTGCTGAATGTTCCCCCAATACTTGCCCCTGTGGTGATCAGTGCTGTAACCAGAGGATACAGAGGCATGAGTGGGTGCAATGTCTGGAACGATTTCGAGCTGAGGAAAAAGGCTGGGGAATCCGAACCAAAGAACCCTTAAAAGCTGGGCAGTTCATCATTGAATATCTCGGGGAGGTTGTCAGCGAACAAGAGTTCAGGTAGGATGGTAAATAGTGATACTCTGGTAAAGTGGCAAAGGTATGAAATTACAATGGAGAATAGAAAGCTTTCCATCTTAATCACTAATTGCCTTTCAATTATTTCTCTCCTCTTCAGAAATAGAATGATTGAGCAATATCATAATCACAGTGACCACTACTGTCTGAATCTGGATAGTGGGATGGTGATTGACAGTTACCGCATGGGAAATGAGGCCCGATTCATCAATCACAGCTGTGACCCGAATTGTGAAATGCAGAAATGGTAAGGAAGCCAAGAATCCAACAGAACAGAAGGCATTGAGGATAGCAAGAGGTTGATCTTTCCACAGTGTCAGTCAGCTTACAGGTGAACAATGTCTGGCCAATGACTTGCATAAGAAGTAGTAAATCATTTCATCTGGCCCAGCCAAAGTAACTGCAGGTAGGATTTGGAGTTGAGGAAATCCGTAGCTGGCTATATTTTAAGTTGATAATTTTGGATGGCCCATTGAATGATATTATAAATATCCAGATGGTCCTGAGCAGAAGAAAACTTCCCAACTTCTTGTATGCAAAGCAGCCCAAGCAATTCCCCTTCAGACCAGATCCTCCAGGTAAAAGAAGCTCCCAGTGTTTCTTCAATCCATGCTGGTAACTTCCAGGAAATACGATAATAAGGATAACAATAATGCCTACTATTTATTGAAAGCTTATTGTGTTCTACATACCATGTTATGTGGGTAAATCCTGTGCCAGCTCATTCAGCTGCATATATACCTGCATAGCCAGTGAATTTGTCATAATGAGAAATAAAAGAAGTGATATGTAAAGTCCATTCTCTCAAATAGTTAACATCTAGTTGAGATGCAAAAAATTATTTCTACAGTGATAGGAAGAAAATATGAGAATTGTATGTCAACAACTATGTTCTGCTTTGTAATATTTTGGGTTGTTTCTTTTTAAGATTTATTATTATCATTATTTAATAAAGATTTATTTATTTTATTGCAAAGTCAGATATACAGAGAGGAGGAGAGACAGACAGGAAGATCTTCCGTCCGATGATTCACTCCCTAAGTGAGCACAACGGGCCGATGCTATGCTGATCCCAAACCAGGATCCAGGAACTTCTTCCAGGTATCCCACACGGGTGCAAGGTCCCAAGGCTTGGTGCCGTCCTCGACTGCTTTCTCAGGCCACAAGCAGGGGGCTGGATGGGAAGTGGAGCTGCTGGGATTAGAACCGGCACCCATATGGGATCCTGGCGCTTTCAAGGCAAGGACTTACGCCGCTAGGCCATGCCGCTGGGCCTCAAGATTTATTATTTTTTATTGAAAATACTTCGGCGTGTTTTTTTTTTCTTTTTTTTTAAGATTTATGTTATTTTCATCAGAAAGGCAGATACACAAAGAGTAAGATCTTTTATTCATTAGTTCACTTCTCAAATGGCTATAACAGCTGGAGCCAAACTGATCCTTCAGATCAGAACCCAGGCGCTTCTTCTGGGTTTCCCACGCGGGTGCAGGGTCCCAGTACCTTGGGCCATCCTCAGCTGCTTTCCCAAGCCACAGTCAGGGAACTGTCAGTCAGTGGAGTTGCCCAGACACAAACTAACACCCATATGGGATCCTGGAGCCTGCAAGGCGAGGATTTAGCCACTAAGCTATCATGCTGGTTCCCCAATTTTACATTTTTTTAACTCACACATGAATATATGGAAATATACAGATCTTAAGGGACTATATTTTTATCAGTTTTTCTAAATGTGTATGCCCATATAGACCATATTGCTATGAAAATGTAAAGTGTTTTCATTTCCCTTCTTCCTCTTCACAGTCTTCCCTCCAAAACAAGACAAACCATAATCACCTGTTCTGGTTCTAAGCTTCATGAATATGCACTCTGTTGTTTCTGGCTTCCTTTGTTTAGCATAAAGTCTTTACCATTCATTCATGCTTTGAATAGTCAATGATTTATTGCTTTTAAATGTTATTTTTAACAATTTAACCCCAATGTGTTTATTTTTCTAAGTACATTTATTAATAGTTCTTTGAAAAAATCACAATTTATTAAAAATTGCACAAGAAGAAATAGAAAGTCTGAATATCCCAGAGAAAATGAAATCTAGAATCCAGGGTTGTAGTGTAACAAAGCCACCACCTACAGTGCCATATCCCATGTTGTTCAATTCTTGGCTGCTCTGCTTGCAGTCCAGCTCCCTGCTGGTATACCTGGGGAAGCAGCCAAAGTTCTAGGTCCTAACTTAGGACTGACCCAATTCCAGCCATTGCAGCCGTTTTGGAAATGAGCTGATGGACGGAAAATTCTTTATGTCACTCCTCTCTCTATAAGTCAGCTTTTCAAATCATTTCAAAAATAAAAACAAAAAAAAACTTTAAAATTTCATAAAATAGCAGCAAATGAAATTAAGCAACAAATAAGTCAAAGGTCAATAATGTGATCATGTTGATTCAGTAACAGGAATGACAGATTGGTGTAAATTTCAAAGATCAATATATATGGAAAACAGTGAAATTGCACTACTGTGTCTGTGTGTATCCAACAGAAATGGAATCCTCTGTTGAGGACAGCTGTCCCTCCATTTTTATGGCAGCACTACTCTTGGTAGCTAAGAATTAGAGCCACCTGAGTGTTCCTTGACTAACAAATTCATAAAGAATAAAATGTTCTTACACTTTGGAATACTGTTTATAAGAAAAGGATGAAATCTTATCATTTGCAGCGTGTATGTTCCTTCCTGTCATTTTGCTAAATGAAATAGGGCAACCACCAGAAAAACTACATGATCACATAGTAGAATCTTTTTTTTTTTTAATCATAATAGAATCTTTTAAAACAAAAGTGGTGTGAGGGTAGGTGTTTGGTACTGAGATTCACTCACCACTTGGGATGCCCATGAGCCATCTAAGAGTTTATTTTTAAATCTCAACTCCACTGCCAGTCTAGCTTAACATGCCTGGGCAGCAACAGAATGGCCCTAGTACTTGTGTTGTAGTCACTCATGTGGGACGCCTAGATGAAGCTCCTGGTTTCTGGTTTTGGCCTGGAAGGGGACCAGCTCTTGGGTATTTGGGGAATGAACAAGCAAATAGAATATCTCTCTATCTTTATCACTCTCTCTTTCAAATAAAAGAGAAAAAATGTTTTCCTCATAGAAATTGAGAATAAATGACAATTATGAGACTGAAGGATGGGGGACTAGAGAGATGGGAAAAGTTTGATTAATGGGTGGGAAAAAGATGTTATAATTTTATGGTAACTATAGGTAATGATAATATGTTGATTTTTTTAAACTAGAGGAAAAGATTTTGTTTTCACCATACAACAGTGATAAATTTGAAGAGATAAATGTGTTCCTCCTGATTGGAACATTATAATATGTTACACTTTTAACAAAATAATCTTGGGGTGGAGTTTGGCTGGCCCAGGAGTTAAGAAGCTGCTTGAGACCCCTATGGCCCATCTCAGAGTGCCTGGGTTCTAGTCCCAGTTTGAGTCCCAAACCTCGTTTTCTGCTAATAGACACCCTGGGGAGCAGTAGGTGATGGCTCAAGTTCTCAGATCCCTGTCCACCAGTGTGCTAGACCCAGGTTGAATTCCAGGGCTTCTCCTGATTTGGGCATGGCCTAGCCCTGTTGATTAAAAACATTTAAGAGTGAATTAGTGGGCTAGATGATTTCTGTCTCTCTCTGTGCTTTTCAAATAAGCCAAAAACAAATAAGTGAATGATGTTTGTAAAATAATATACGATACACCATAAATACATACAATGGCTATGTGTCAGCTACAAAAATAAACTTAAAACATTAACATGGCGGTACTAGTAGTTAAGATGCCTACATCCCAAATCAGAGTCCTTGGTTTGATACCCAGGTCTACCTCCTGACTCAAGCTTCTTCCTAATACAGAATGTAGGAGGCAGTGGTGATGGCTCAAGTAATTGGATTCCTGCCACTCACATTAGAGAACTGGATTGAGTTCCTCACTTGTAGCTACAAAACTACCCCAGCCCAGCCATGGAAGGCATTTGAATAGTGACTGAGCAGATAGGAGATTCTATCTATCTATCTATACCTATCTATCCCCTTCTCAGATAAATAACTGAAAATTTAAAAAATAATATAGGGCCCAGCATGATAGCCTAGTGGCTAAATCCTCATCTTTTATGTGCCAAGATCCCATATAGGCCTCAGTTCATGTCTCGGCATCCCCATTTCCCATCCAGCTCCCTGCTTGTGGCCTGAGAAAGCAGTAGAGGATGGCCCAAAGCCTTGGGACCCTGCACCTGTGTGGGAGACCTTTAAGAAGTTCCTGGATCCTGGCTTCGGATCGGCATAGCATTGGCCGTTGCGCTCACTTGGGGAGTGAATCATCGGACAGAAGATGTTTCTGTCTCTCCTCCTCTCTATATATCTGAATTTCCAATAAAAATAAAATCTTTTTAAAAATTAAATAAATGAAATAATCCCTTTGTTAAAAGATAATATAAATTCAGAGTTAATATAGTTATAGAAATTTAAAAACCCTTTCCTACTTTTTTTTTAAAAGATTTATTTATTGGGCCCAGCGCGATGGTGCAGTGGTTAAGGTCCTCACCTTGCACGCCCGAGATCCCATATGGGCGCCGGTTCTAATCCCGGCAGCCCCGCTTCCCTTCCAGCTCCCTGCCTGTGGCCCGGGAAAGCAGTCGAGGACGGCCCAAGTCTTTGGGACCCTGCACCCGCGTGGGAGACCCGGAAGAGGCTCCTGGCTTCGGATCGGCATAGCATCGGCCCGTTGCGCTCACTTGGGGAGTGCATCGGACGGAAGATCTTCCTCTCTGTCTCTCCTCTCTGTATATCCGCCTTTCCAATAAAAAAATAATAAAAATAAATCTAAAAAAATAAAGATTTATTTATTTTTATTACAAAGTCAGTTATACAGAGAGGATGAGAGACAGAAAGGAAGATCTTCCATCTGATGATTCACTCCCCAAGTGATCACAATGGCCAGTGCTGTGCTGATCCAAAGCCAGGAGCCAGAAACAACTTCTAGGTCTCCCACACGGGTGCAGCGTCCCAAGGCTTTGAGCCGTCCTCAACTGTTTTCCCAGGCCACAGCAGGGAGCTGGATGAGAAGTGGAGCTTCCGGGATTAGAACCAGCACCCATATGGGATCCCGGGGTGTTTAAGTGAGGACTTTAGCCGCTAGGCCACGCTGTTGGACCCCCTACTTTCCAAAATACCTAAAATTCACATACTAATATTGACACAAAGTGTTGGC